GGGCGCATACTCACATACTCTTTCCGCATACTCTCTGACTCTCTCCGTATCTCTGGCTCTCCTGAATATTTCTTGATTCTACCCGCATACTCCCCGACTCTCTTTGCATGCTCCCAGACTCTTTCTATATGCCCCGACTCTGTTCTTTTGCTCTTCAACTCTTCCCGCGGACTTTCTGACTCTCCTTCGTTATGTTCCCCATTATGCGCCATACGCATATAACGCGTTCCAATATCCCCATCTCTTCAGTTACTTTCTGTATCACTCTCCTTTCTATTCTTTCATGTCTTGCTCTCTGTCTCTGTCTCTGTCTCGTCTCTCTCTCTCTCTCTCTCTCTCTCTCTCTCTCTCTCTCTCTCTCTCTCTCTCTCTCTCTCTCTCTCTCTCTCTCTCTCTCTCCTTGTCATACCTCCTTTCTCCCTTCATCGTTCACATCAATAAACTATCGCTAAACTCTTAGTTTAGCTTTACAATCAGACAGTAACATGAGATTGGCGCCAGTCGCGACATTGACAAAGAGCCTGACACAACGGAACACACGGTGTCACAGAATTAAGTCTGACAGTGACACAGATTGATACAGTCTGACAGTGACACATTTTTAGGCTTGGCTTAGTCTGCCACAGCCGCATTGATGCATTTTATCGCGGCGACTTAGACCCGATCTTGGCTAGCCTGTCAGGCTGTGCTTTACCGTATTGGTAATTTTATCGATCGTTTTTACGTAAATCACCCATGCGCTTTTAGTTTGGATAGTGCGGTGAAGCATAATTTTGGTCATCAGGCTGCGGAAGTTTTGAAACGATGTCATATAGTCTATGAAAATGTTTCTAAGCCACCAAACTTATAGTTTTAGCGAACTAATGAGTTGGGAGACCAACTTGCCTTCAGAGTTACATGGTTCATAATTCTTATTCAGGATGTAGACTCTGAAATAGCAGAAGGCGGACGGAATCTAGTCTCTTTAAACGCTCAGATTTTGTTTTCCGGACGCATGTAAATCTAGCTCCGGATCCGGCACCGTTTAAGCGGGCTTGAACAAGGCCTTTCATGTTAGTCTCATTTATATTCAAGTAAATACATTTGCTGCTCTTGCAAGTGGACTGCAATATTGCTCGTATTTCCTCTGACGTCGTCATTAAGTGCTCTTTGATCTCAGTTCAGCACCATCCGTCTTAGTGTTGATCCCTCGCGAATTACGACCAATTTCAAAGTTTGCCTGTACATCAAAAATTAAAACACTCGTTAGCACATAAGCATTTTCAGTGTTTTCCACTTCGGTGCCTCTGCCTGTTAATAATTTAAAGTTTATTGCGTTTTCTCTTCCTGGGCGGCCTCTGAGAAATCAGTATCTCTGCTTAGCGGCTTGGCGCCGATAGAGCGTCGTTTGGTTCTATGGACGATTTTCTGGGTGATGCGCTATGTCATCCGGTGTCATGGTGACCAAAAGGAAGGGCTGGTCTGAATGCAAACCAGTGACTTGTGGCATCGATATCTGCCCGGTGGGATGCCTCAGGATAAGGGAAACGCGATGTCGTGGGGAACGAGGCTTTCAATGACGTCAGTCATCGCCGTGGCATTGACGTCTCTGCCCCATCACTCTGACATCACTGTGACACATCAGTATGATATTTCTGACGTGCTTGTCTTATGTGACTTCTCTGATGTGAATTAAACATTAAATGACGGCACGTCAGCAATACTGACGTGTGTTCACATCACTCTGGCATCACTGTGTCACATCAGTGCGACACTCCGACATGGCTGTCTGATGTGTCATCTATGATGTAGACCTCCACAGGAGACGTTACGTCGTGGGCGGACGGCAGGATGTATGTAATGGGATAGGCGGTACGTCGCAGCTGGCAGGAGCGCCTAATTGAATGAGCGCACCGACGACCGGAGGTGACACCGCGTCAGCGGGAGATGTATCGCTGTGATGGCTTAGAGGAGGTACGAGACAGGACTCGAACAGCCTCCGGGACCTGCCGGGTAGCGGGGAAGCTGCAGCGGTGTCAGGCTGCCGGCTGCGGAGGATTCCGTTTTGGCGCCTGGGGAGGTATCCATGAATAATCCATGTAGTGGTGTGGAGGTAGAACTGAACATTTCTTCTTCTTTTTAAAAATGCACTGAGAATTACATATAAATTCAGCAAATATAGGTATATCTCAGTTCGTGACAAAGGAATATAACTACTTAATAATTTCAGCGTAAATCAAATCAAGCAACATAGCGCGAATAGGTTGTGATTCAATCCCATGCTACCGAGATCTGTAACATCTCATCACTCCTGGCTGACTTCCGGCTGTCGCTGCCGCTGCACCCCCCCCCCCCCGCAGACGGGAGTGGGGGGGGGGGGGGTCGATTACGCGGAGTCGGCTGGCTCCTGTAAATGGCGCTCCTTGTACCAGGGACCCATGTCGTTACCCTCCCCCCTCCCCCGGGGTGGGGTCGGCCCAGACACAATTACATCGGGTAGGGTGAGCAACCCAGACAGAGTAGGCTAGGCAGGGAACCTAGGCGGAGCTAGCAATACATGGGTAACCCAGACAAAGCTAGACAGGAATCTACATAGAGTTTCGTGATAAATCCAGCTAGGGCTGTTTGAGTAGCCCAGACAGAGTAGGCTAGGCAGGGAACCTAAGTGGAGCTAGCTATACATGGGTAACCCAGACAAAGCTAGACAGGGAACCTAGAGGGGGCTGCGTAAGGGACCCAGACTCTGGGAGCCTAGCAAAAGAGAGTGTAGGAACCTAGACAGGACCGGGCCCCTGGCCATATACGAGACCCAGGACATAGACAGGGACCCGGGCAGAGTGAAGTGAGGAACCCAGACAGAGCTCTATACAGGCAACGTAGTTAAAGCTGCGCAGGGAACATAGCCAGAGCTGCATAGAAACACATGAAGACAGCGACGGGAGGAGACAGAAACCCAGGTAGATCTATCAGCTAGACGAGGAGCAAAGGCAGAACAATAACACACATTGCATCAGACATCAATGTGACACATATCTTGAGAGGCATTGTTTTATTTTCCCAGTAAAGGGTTTAACACATGTTTGCCGACTGTATAAATCATCCGATTGCTTGCTCCCTGAGGCAAGAACAATTCAGAAGCAATCATAGTGGCGAATCTAAAAGCCAGCCCAGCTGTGAAGCAACATACGTTAAGGTCTCACAGGCTTCGGCAAACTCAGCTTCAGCGTCCTGTGCGGTGGAATAAATCAGTGACATTTTCACAACACTGAGCATGATTATAATGGCGAAGAAAAGTAATGTGGAAAATAGTATGGTATGGCACTGACATTTATCGTGAGAATATATTGATATCGCAATGGCACTATTAGCGGTAATCAAAAGAACGAGATGAACGGTATAGATGGATGGTAGATAGAGATGAGCAGAGCTTTAGAAAATGCGAACGTCATTACGCCTTTTGCTGATAGGTATTATGCGGTACGGCTGTAGCGAGAATGTCCACGAAAAAGATCACGTCTTATATGTAGCTATAAAGCAATGCAGATATAATCAAATCCTCGTACGCTATACAAGCAAAACGTGCGAAGGACATGTTATTTGTAAATTTATGAACCTGAGAAGTGTTTCGATCCTTTGTTGTGAAACGTGTAGGCTCTTCACTCAATCGGCAACGGAACGTTAAGTGCTTCACTTTTACACTCGGAGCAGAGCCATTTCCCATTTCTGTCCAAACGAGATCACTTTTTCCACGTCCGAGGGAAATATGTAATCTGTCAGTTTTCCGTGGCCCGATTTCTCACGTAAAATTGCCAGATGACGTCCGCTGTCAGTTAGGGACGACTGGTATTGATTTACGGCGCCAGGAGCTGTGGCCAGTATCAACAGGTAGCCGTCACATGAGCGATTCGCCCACGGCTTATGGTGTTACCGGAGCCAATGGTAGCGCTTCCAGAGCCCTCTCTGGGATTGATTGCATTTCCCATTGAGGGGGTAACGGGCACTGACGTCACCATCATGGCAAAGACTTTAGACGAGATGTCGGATCGGCTCCAGTTTCCTTTCCTTCGCAGAGCTTTCTGATTATATCACTATTTCTGGGTGTCTGGGATGTGAGCTCTGAATGTGTAGAATGTGAGCTGTGGGTGTCTGGGATGTGAGCTCTGAATGTGTACATAGAATGTGAGCTGTGGGTGTCTGAGATGTAAGTTCTGAGTGCTGGGCTGAGGGTGTTCGAAACGTGAACTCGGGGTATTCGTGATGTAAGCTTTGTGTGTCCAGATTGGAAACGCCCTGTTTGTACGAACTGCAAGCCCCGAATGTCTGGACTAGGAATCCCTTGTTTCCGAACCGGAAGCTCTTGGGGACCTACCATGCTCCGTTCTGAATATCAGATGGTGTGAATCTGTGAGTTTCAGCAGCGCATTGAGGACGCTTCTGTTGCATAATGTAAGCTGTTCCTGCGGTGATAAAGCCATCACGTATTCAGATCTCGAACTTCTGAAGCGCGTGTGGCAAATACATATGACCTTTCATATATTGACAGAAGTATTCTTCATTGCAGGTGACACCAGATCAAAAGCTTGGCATGGAAACGACCCAGCTCCTTCGGCTTTGAGGGTCTCCAGCGAGGACTTACCACAAACCGCAAAGTCGTCCCAGCCGCCATCTCTCCCGTGTTTCTACCGAGGTGACCCCGCTAAAGACGGGGACGCGCGGCGGGCGCACGAGTCCCAGGCGGCCGGCACGTGACCTGGCGGGCTATCCGATCTCACCACGTAACCGCAGTCATCGATCGCGCCTCATCGGCACGGCGCGATAGCTCCGGGGCACCGCGACGACACGTCCCCGACCGGGAACACGCCCACGGCGCCGACGAAAACCACGACGCCCCCACACCGACAAAAAGTCAGACACCGACGGGAGGTTGGGACGCCTACATACCGACGGAGGCCAGGGCAGATAGGTGCCGACGAAAAGCTAGGACGTCTACAGACTGACGAGAGGTTAGGACGTCCACAGAAGTAGGACAGTGGTGAAGGAGCGCGTTTGTGTCGGCTCTGCTGAAGACGGGCCCGTCGAGCGACGAAGGTAATTCACTGAGAACGCCAGAAATGGACAAGCTGTTGCCCAGTTTGGGATAATTGAGTTACAGCTAGTGAACGCCGAAAATAGTTTGCTCTCTTTCAAGAAGAAACTGTTGACGTGGGAAGCGAAAACTCACAACAAACATGACGAATTTCACGATGATGGACAACAGCTCTCTTGAGAACTGTACGGCACTGCAGTTGTTGGATAACGACACGATCAGCTGCGGGCCGCCGCCGCCGCCCGTCTCGTACGCACTCATCTTCAACGCGGTCATCTACTCCATAGTCATGGTGATCGGCCTGGGCGGCAACACCCTCGTCATCTACGTCATCCTGCGCTACAGCAAGATGCAGACGGTGACCAACTTCTACATCTTCAACCTGGCCGTGGCTGACGAGATCTTCCTCATCAGCATACCGTTCATCTTGACCACCATGGCGCTGGGAGAGTGGCCGTTCGGCATGGTGATGTGCAAGATCTACTGGACCATCACCAGCATCAACCAGTTCACCAGTAGTCTCTTCCTGACGGTGATGAGCGCCGACCGGTACCTGGCCGTGTGCCACCCCATCAGCTCCACGCGCTGGAGGACGCCGCTGGTCTCCAAGATCGTCTGCCTGACCGCCTGGACTGCCAGCTCTCTGATGGTGGTTCCCCTCTTCATGTACGCCGCGGAGTACGAGGGTCAGTGCAACATCTTCTGGCCGGAGAAGGTTGGCGGTTTCAAGGGCGAGAAGGCCTTCACGCTGTACACATTCACCATGAGTTACCTGATCCCAGTGATCCTGATCCTTGTCTTTTACATCCTGGTCATCGACAAGCTGCGCCACGTCGGCCCCAAGAAGAGGTCCAAGGAGCGCCGCAAGTCGCACCGCAAGGTGACGCGCCTGGTGCTCACCGTCATCACCGTCTACTTCTTCTGCTACCTGCCCTTCTGGATCACCCAGCTGTCTCTCATGGTGAGCAGCGAGTCCAAGGTCAACCACAGCCACTTCCTCGTCTGTCTTATCCTCCTGGCGTACGCTCTCACCTACATCAACTCGGCAGTCAACCCAGTACTCTACGCCTTCCTCAGCGACAACTTCAAGAAGTCCTTCGTGAAGGCGTGTCAGTGCGCCCGCGCTCCAGACGTCAACAACGTCCTGAACGTTGAGAACTCGGTCTTCCCGAGGCGCAGCAAGCAGACGGGCGGCGGCAAGTCGACGGACCTGCATGAGATGCAGGAGCGCGGGATGACGCACGAGCCCAGCACGGGGGTAACGGTGATGACGCCGCGTTCGACAGCTCGCTCTAGTCACGTGGACAGCACCAATGGACACCTTACACTCAAAGTGCCCATCAAGGTGTAATGTCGCCTGAGGTCGGCTAGGCGGCCAGCCGTAAGGGTGATGGCTATAGAGGTATTGTGTAGAAATATAGACATTGACCGACTTTAGATAGATGCTGATATCCAGATGTGTTAGTGCTCGACTTCGCGTGCTATCGTTTGCTATTCATCTAGCATGTATTGACAGGACGCACACATAAATGACATACCAAGCTTATCACCTACAAATTCGCGATTGAGAAACAATTCGAATGGGCACCATTTGCAGGCCTCGAACACTTGTGGCATCACGTTATTGAAGGCCAGTCAATAACTAAAGAAGTTTCCACGCAACTCCTTTTCTGTGGGATGCCTACGTTAGATGATTGCTATGGAGAGATATGAATGACAGGTCAATGTGCTATGAGTTTGAATCCCTGTTATCACTATAAGGAGCCGTCTTTTCCGTGCGAACGATGTAAGACGAACAGCGAGACGTCGACCTGAAAAGCTGCTCTTGGTGTTCTCTGTACGCGAAGTAGTGCCAACATTATCGTGTATATCGTCCATGTCTGCGCTGTATTTAAACGCTTGGCTGTCTGGACAAGTGTTTCTGATGCGTGAAGAATCACCTGCTATGCTCTTGGACGTATTGATTAAAGGCCTCTGATACCAACAAAGGGACTCTAGCTGCGCATCTTGTAACATCAAGTGACGGCCGAGCCTAGGTTGCTGATGTGCTTTGGGGACTTCAACTGAGAGCACAGCTGAAAGACGTTTGGTCTGTAATCTGTACTCTGCAGGACTGTGCGTGTGCAACGTCACTTGATGAGCTCTGGAGCCAGCGCTAAGCTGTGTTACTGTGAACGTGCTACATAAGCTGGATGTTCGTCTAACACCTTCGGACATGGGCTTTAACAATCGGGCGGAGCCGAGCAGCCGCCCGCGGATTCGGATGTTTCGTTGGTGTTCGATGTCGCGATGTGAAGTAAGCTACCTTTCTGGAATGGCTGTGAGTGTTTGACACCTGTTTCCCTGCGCTAAGTGTGATGTTAGCTATCGTTTCAGAGGCCACTGCGATGTTCAATCGGGGTGTTGACTTGCAGGTTTGCTGTATGTAGGCATGTCTGTTTTGTCGTCCGTTTCACAATGTCGCGGCAGCGATACTTACGGGGCGAATAGTATCTTACGGGGCAAACAGTATCCCAAGTGGATGGTGATAGGAGTTCTGAGCCCTCCTGCTGCCATCCCAATCCTCTGAAGACCCGCTTCCAGGGTCGGTGAGCCCCACTGCGACCCATGGGGAGCCATGGCACCCCTCCATCTCCTCCGGGGGTGTCACGGCTTGCCTAGACTCAGGTCGCCCATCACAATGATTGTTTTTCAGCGGCACGGAATCTAGTCGTGAAGCCGACAGGGCCCACTATGGTTCCGGCCGTACATACGACTTTATGGCATCATAAAGTGCAGCTCTGTATGGTCCCAGGAGTGAGCTTAATTGAATCGGACCCGGCGAGTCTGGTCACGACAGCGCCTGGACGATGGAATGGCGTGCGCTTGGCCATGGTGGTAGAGGATTTCGTGCCGGAATAAAGCGCGAACCCTCACAGACGCGAGATGTCTAAGCCTGCCTTGTGTGCAACTGGGCTGGTGGGATTTCGTTTCATATCCGTTAGCGTCGTATTTCTTTACGAAATATTCTGGCATTATTTCTCTCTGAGTTATCTAGCCGGAAGTAATTTGCTTGCGTTTCTGTGACTCATAAATTTGCACTCGTAGTTAATTAACTGGACATGTTCTACACAATGCCCTTGTGTTGTTCCATTCTAACCCTAGCTGGCTGATCAAGTCGCAAATGTTTGAAGAACTTCTGCTGTTATATCGAGGACTCATATGACCCATGGACTTTTCCAGATTGACAACAGAATATATTGTAAAACGTTAAACGGGTTCTGGACGTAATAAGATAAGTTACATTCATTGTTCTTTCGTTCTCAAATAAGACCAACATAAATTACAAAAAATATACCCTTGCACTACATCTAACCTCTGTCAGATCCCAGCGTTCAGCACTACCGATGACCTCTTTTAGACCATATCTCTTCATCTGACCTCTATTAGACTCCAGTACTACCTCTAACCTCTATCAAACCCCACTACATCTAATCTCTATCAAACCCCACTACATCTGACCTCTATCTACATCCACTACATCTACCCACTACATCTGACCTTTATCAAACCCCACGCTGTGGGGGACCGCTACATCTAACCTCTATTAGGTCCCACTACATCTGACCTCTATCAGGCCCCACTACATCTGACCTCTATCTACATCCACTACATCTACCCACTACATCTGACCTTTATCAACCCCCACGCTGTGGGGGACCGCTACATCTAACCTCTATTAGGTCCCACTACATCTGACCTCTATCAGGCCCCACTACATCTGACCTCTATCAGGCCCCACTACATCTGACCTCTATCAGGCCCCACACGACCCGCCGCGACTCCAGACACCACGTCCCTCCCGGGGGAGGCCGACCTCCAGCGCGCGGGCGGCTCCCCCGGGACCCGGGACTGGCGGCAGACCCGTGATCCTATCCGACCAGCGCTCGATGTCTGGACGGCGCGGCCCGACTCGCGCCCTCAGGGACCCACCCGGTCATGAACTGGGTCACTCACGAAATGGAATTTCGCTCGGTGCCGCCGTCGAGACCTGCCGATTTCCCTCAACATCCAGATATTAGCGGCGCTGCGACCGCCGACGGGTAAAAAGTTTCGGACTTCGAGCTGGAATGAGAACTTTGGCAGGTCGCCACAATGAGTTGTCTTCTGGCGCAGTGCCGGAGGCTTTACAAAGTTTTCCAATTACCATCCCCCGCGGTTATTTTCTCCTCGCCTTGGCTGAAAGTCTTTGAGGTTTCTTGTTGGAGCCTGAATTTTCTTGACGCTCTCTCTCTCCTTCTCTCTCATCCTGGCCTTGCTCCCTTCCTCTCTTTTCCATCTACCACCCTCTTCAAATAACTCTCTCTCTCTCTCTCTCTCTCTCTCTCTCTCTCTCTCTCTCTCTCTCTCTCTCTCTCTCTCTCTCTCTCTCTCTCTCTCTCTCTCTCTCTCTCTCTCTCTCTCTCTCTCTCTCTTTCTCTCTCTCTCTCTCTCACTCTCTCCTTCTCTCTCTCTCCCCGCTCTCTCTCTCTCTCTCTCACTCTCTCTCTCTCACTCTCTCTCTCTATTCTCTCTATCCTTTATCACTCTCTTCTTATTCATCTCCTCATCCTTTTTGTCCTCCTCCTCCTTATCCTTTATTTACTCTTCCTCTCTCCCCCTCTCTGCGAATGGCAGACACCTCTGTCCCAGACCTGTTTGACTGTGCTCCTCTCGGTAGCTTTCCCCAGCCTCTTATCCTTCTTCCAAACACTCTGTGGCGGTAGTGGCGTGACAGCGCCATACATCGCTTACCGGCCGTGCCTGCCTGCCTCCATTGAACCGTGCCGGCGGGCCTTCACTGGCTGTGGCCGCTCCAGAACTAATGGGTCAGTCGGTAGCATCTATTTTCGTCCGCAGCCATTGGCCTCACCCGCTGCAGGAGCCCACGGCGTCATGCGGCATTGTCATGGAAATTTGACGCGGTAGATAAAACGATGGTAGATAAAACGGTGTCATCAACGGTGTTGTGTGAGATTCGCGCAGAATCCATTGTCAAAGTTTCTTGACAGGAAGAGAAGAGAGCAATGAATCATGGTGAGCGGTCCAAGGGCGGGAGTGACATCCAAGGCAATGGCAGCATTGGGACGAATTGTCAGCTTACTCAAACGCTTTGCGGCCACATTGGACTTATTCTTCCATTCATCTACCACTCGTCTCGGTATTTGCATTTTGCCTCTTCAGTAATTTCCTCTACAGTCCGCCCTTGCTACTCCTTTCTCGCTGTCTCTACAGAACGAAGTAACGTGCAGCCCCTCCCTCCTATACTCGCACCGCTAAGACGTTTACTATCCCTCGATTTCTGACCCTCAGTTTTTTTTCTAAACATCTTCAAACATTTGTGACAATGAAGGCAGCCAGATTTCTCTGGTAAAATCCACTTGTTGGACCGCACTTGATGGACCCCGTTACGGCTTTCGTGTTAAACCGAACGGAAAATTACGGCTCTGCGAATTCAGCAGAACATCATATCATGTTTTCTCTTAATTAATTAAGACGATTAGTAGATGGACGGCAAAGGGCTTATTGTGGTCCGCGGATTCGTTCTCTAAGTATAATCAGAGTGAATGCTCTTCGCCGCAAGGAAAAATAAGGAAAACAGGGCAGGAAAAGTCATATTGCTTCATCATAAACCACTTAGGGCACAGAAGCTCCGGGCCATAGCGCAAAGCTTTAGGTAAGAATAAGATGCAGCGGGTGTCTGAAATATGTAGGTGTACTGTCTTTGTGTATTGTGTAATGTACATTTCCTGTAGATACCTTCGTGCGCGTGTGTGTACATACATTGCTCAACTGTTCATGTATTCGTACTATGAATGTGTGCTCGTGCGGAGGACGTTCTTCGAGAGACCGATGTCCTCACGAAACGCGCTCTAACTCCTAATCTAAGTATATGTTACGTCATAATATACGTAACCGTCCTTTTTCATCCGTCTTTTTCGAGAAATTAGCGACGAGTGTATCGAATTGCGACTCCACTGAAAACACGATCACGATGAAGCGACGCTCGACGCTCGATGAAGCGACGCTCGACGTTCAATGCGTCGCGAACTGACTGGCCCAGATCGCGGGGCAAACCAATGAAGCGAACATCCACACAGACACAATAGCAGCGAACTGGAGCATGTCGAGGCGGGACGTTTCGAGCCGACATTTGCTGTCGCCGGAACGACGCAGCTGGGAGCGAGTCAGCTGCAGAAGATTGGACTCCTCTTGAGTCACGAGTCACGTGTGACGCTCACTGACGAGATGTGACGCGTCACAGCTGGGGTCCGTCACGATATGTTGAAGATTAGGTCTGCGTCAGATTACGGTTTGGTTGTAAAAGTCATGCACAAATGTTTAGGATCATGTAGACAGGCGATTAATTGTTTTCGTTGGGGAAAGGAAAATGTATCTTATTCTTATCATTATAACACAATTATCCCTCGCATGTGTGTGGCGTTTGCCAGCTTCTAATGTGTAGGGGGGGGGGGGGGTCGGTTGGACCCCCCTTGCCGTTTGGCCCCTGATCGAGCTAGAGCTTCGCGGAAAAAACGAGCGTGTTGCCCGTGACAAGAGGAAGCCGATGATACCCAATTTTAACCCTCGCGGGCCCGGGGGGGGGGGCGTTTTTCGCCCCCCCTGGCGAATATTTGCGATAGCTCCCGAACGCTTAGGGATAGGAAAGCGAAACTTTCAGTACCTTTTTTCCCATCAATTTGACATCTTCTGAAGTAAAAAAATTGGACCTAGCCCCCTTGATGACGTCACAAGGTCCATTTTTCTAGACCCCTGCACGGCAAACTTCGTCGTCACAGACGCAAACTTCAAATAGCTACTAAAAATAGAGTTTTAGAGATAAAGACAAATTACGAGCACGGTTGTGTAGCGTTTGACCTAGAGAAAAATAGAAAAATTGTTTTGGTGACCTGAGGTCAGAGGTCAGGTCAACGACCCCGAAATGTGGTTTTAGTTTTTCGCAAATAACTTCGACAAAAATGGTCCTAGAGCTACGGCAGTGGTACCATCGCATTCGCCTTGTCAAGCCGCGTCGAATGATATATATTTTTTTCGGAAAAGGTCAAATTTTATGTTGACCTCATGTGACCTCGAATGACCTCTGGTTGACCTTGACACATGAAAGGTCGTTTATGATGGATTTGTATTCGCTGATCACGAATCTGGCATCTATTTTCCTCTTAGCCTTCATTTAGAGCTTCCGGATGGCAAAATTGTCTTATTTATTATAACTAACTTGAATTAGTGAAATAGCCTCTAGCAGGGATACTCTTCTGTGACCTTGACCTATGAGCAGCCTTGTATCGTAAGATGGACCACAAATAGGGAACTGATAAGCCTCAAAACATTTCAAAACATCTTGGAAGTTAGCACGCAAGATGTGCGAAAAAGTGCCAAGTTTGAGGTCAATTTTGAGCGTGACCTTGACCTTGACCTTTGATTTTGAGCACAGTTTCGGAATCCTCAAATTCTCTCCTTTCATTTGACACCCAATTTTACCGGTTTGATGCAGCCTGCCGTCCTCTAGAAGGCTTAATTTGAGATCACTACTCATGTGCCGGTTTTTGCCTTTGACCTTGACCTCTGACCTTGAAAATTGACCTGAGGTCAAAAATTTTAGGTGCTTTAGAATTGTCTCGTAAGGACCTTTCGTTTGGTATCGCTTTTGTTTCCGTAGCTCCCTTATTTACGGAGTTAGACAGGGGGGGCGAAAAACGCCCCCCCCCCGGGCTGCGGTGGTTGGGATTACCCCCCGAGCCCGGCCGGGTTAAGGTCCTAGGTCATTGGGTGACCTTCCAGGTCAGGTCAATGACCCAAAGTCGGGAAAATCGGGACCTGTTAGAAAGTCGTAAAGTGTGGCTGCTAAGAGGTTTTTCGGGGTGCTGATCACGAATATCGTGTTAGTTTTGATCACAGATGATGTCTTTAAGCATTTAGACCAGGTCGGGTCAGGTCAGGTCTGGTCAACCAGTAGGCATCGTGACGGGTATTCGTAGTACGTGTCAACCGCCTCTGACAGCTTCGTAACATGTTACGAAGGCACCAAAACTACTTCGTAAATGTTCAAATGGTTGCTAAATTCGAATTAAGCTCCAAAAACTAGCCTAGGAACATGTACACTCACCTACTAAGTGATGTTCGCCCCCCGACGGCCCAGCGTTTGACTGGAGCGGTAGACTGCGCCGTCTCACACCCAGGCTCAGCGGCACAGCACATCCCTCTGGCCTCAACGGTAGACTGTGCCGCCTCACACCCAGGCTCAGCGGCACAGTATATCTCTCTGGCCTCACACTCGCTACAGACGCGTTTGACCGGGTCAGGGACGCGCCGCGCTGGTTGCCTTATCGCTCACAGTCACATATCTGTGGCTAGGGGGCCTGCTGCGAATCGCTGGTCTTTCTGTGTCGACTCGAATATGATGCTTGTAAGTAGTCACGATCGCATTTAGCTCAGTGAGATTAGTTATAGCAATTTACATCGTTTATTTTCTCCCGGGTGGGGTGGGGGTGGGGTGGGGTGTTTGGCCACACTTGCCAATGTTTGTGTGTGTCTGTAACGGAAACTGCGGCGCACAGCGACGCAAAACTTGGCACAACTTATGAATTTCGTATCGTGTCTGGAATTGTTGACACCTGGTCACATCATAAAGTCAGGTCAAAATGCTCC